GTCCCAGACTCAAAACGCAGAGTTCATGCAGAGCTCAACTCTGCGTCCCAGGCCCAACTCTGCGTCCCAGACTCAAAACGCAGAGTTCATGCAGAGCTCAACTCTGCGTCCCAGGCCCAAAACACAGAGTTTATTTCTGCGCAACGCGACCTGTGCGTTCAGCTACCAAAATAGGCCAAACTCTGCGTTTCAAGTCTAAAACGCAGAGTTCGGGCCCTGAACGCTATTTTTCAGCGTTTGACTTGTTCAAAACACGAATTGAACTGTTTCAAAACCATTTTCCTCACGATTTGGGGAGTTGTTTAAGGGGGCGGTTACACCCCATTCAGCCCCACTTAGGAACGAATTAAGGGGGCGGTTACACCCCTTAATCCCCTATAAATAGGGGTAAACTCAACTGAGTTTGAGCTGGCTTTTTGGATCTGGGACTTGGCAACAAAGGGGGAATTTCTTGGAGCAGAAAGGGTCTGAAGGGATCAGCATCATTCTCCAACGGTGATCATCTTCAACTTCAGCAACGAGGAGCTCGTCCTGGGCTTACAAACCGATTTCAATTAAATCAACTCTTTCATAGAGTTTCAAACTCGTTCAGAGTTATCAACTCATCAAGAGTTTCAAACTTGCCACGCAAGTTCTCCACAACGTCAAATTGTGATGGGGAGATACCGTTCCAGCAAATCAAGACGTGCGGATCGTCAACAGAGAGCAAACTCGACGCGAGTATTCGAGGGAGGCACTCCATCGCCACCGTGAAGAACCCAAAATTAAACAAAGGGGGGAATCTAGATCATTCTCCTCTCTTTTGTAATCGGAATCTAATTGTAATTGAGATCGAGAGAATCTAAATCAAAATTTTCTTTCATTTCTTTTATTGTGAATTTTCCACCAAACATTCACGATGAAGCACCTCTAAGAAAATCGTTCTTAACAGTCGATACTTAATGTCGTCCAACCCTTAATTAAGGCTTGGTTTGGTAAAGAGGAGGCGAAGGGAGGGGAGAGGTACTAAAACTAAATTGTCTTCGTATTTTTTGAAAGGGAAGGCAGAGTAAAGTGAGGTGAGGTAAGAAGAGATAAAACTCAAAATGAACCCAAAATGAGGGGAGAGTAGATGAAATACTCCTCCAATCAAACAAGAAGCACGAAAAGCATGTCTTTTGCTAGCACCTCACCTCACTCCACATTCTCTCTTCACACCTCCTATTAAACTATGCCTTAGATTAGGTTCTCTAGCAAATAATAGACAAGAAGTTCATCGAGCAGAGTTGGCTATGGATGTGTCTTAAAACTCGGGCAATTTGGGATAGATCCTTATCAGACTAAAGTTTGTTTTACTTCATAGAAGTATTAGAAATTAAAAAATAGATCAAAGATGCACATGAATTAAATTGTCTATTTTTTTTAGTAAAATGGTGAGTGACTACCCCCGTCCTCTAGTAATAAGAGTTTAACAAAATAACTCATGAGATTATAAGAAAAGAAAGTCAAGAACAAAAGAAGTCAAAGCTAAATCGTGACAGAACTATAACTAAATTGTCTGAGACAGCGTAGACTAACACAGAATTCATGACATTCGGCTTTTAGATCAAATCATGCCAAAAGAACCACCATAAAAGTGTCGAGGCCCTCTCTTCTTTGAGACAAAGATATGCATGACCCAGGGTGTGTTTGACACCTCGACCAAACTTTGTCTAGCTGATACAAACCTGGTCTAAAGTGTTATTTTTTAGTTTGATAAAAACTTAGTCCAATTTGCATAATTTTTTTTTTCTAGTTTAATTTCTAGCCCTTAAATTAGTTCTTTTTTGGACCAATCTCCATATGAGTTAACTTTAACCTAGTTCAGAAAAAATAGCTTTATTTTGGAGTTTTAAAACACACCCTAAGTTTTATTAGATCTAATTGCTCACCTTCACGATAATGACCGTAATGTTTATGATTGCCCATGTCTCATTGGATATGATTGGTAATGTTGTACTCTGATGTAAAAGTCGGTGCCGTAAGGGGGAACGTTTTAAATGAGTTCCGCTTTGCCAGCCCACAGTTCACTCTCTAAACGCCATACACACCAGGGAAAGCGCCTAATCAAAAATGCTAGAAGAAAACTAAGCAATGGATTTCTAATCATTCAAAAGCTTTCGCCTTTTTGTAGCCGTAGTTTTCTTTACTTTCACAAGAGCTTCTCATCATTCCTTAGAGATTCTCTTTTTTCCCCTTCACAATTTTCTAGATAACAATGAGTAGCAACTCAGAGTCTCAGAGGATCCAAAGATTGATTTCACCAACACTTTTCTTTTAAAAATTGTTTTGAACTATTGATGCATATTCCTGTACCACTGGAGCATTATGCAATGAGAACTGAGTAGCACTATTGTTTTGTGCTCCTCAAGCTTCTATCCAATCAGTACATAGAGTTCATTGACCAACAAAGTTTATTGTCCCACTAGATCCAATCTAGGCGATAAATGTGCAACAAAGAAATACCAATATTTAGACTATTGAATTTCATGATTTGTTATTGAGAGAACTAAATCTCGGATAATAATAAATAAGCGGATACTTAACGACAATTGTTGACTGAGAGAACTAAATCCATATTCATCTGTGTCTTGGCTAAATTTTTCTTGCATGGGCTGGGCTTTACCATGCCTTTGTTATTGAGGCTTGATCCAAATTCTTCGTCTCTCCGCAACTATACCATAACTATTCATTCGTTAATGGATGGCTATGAATGGTCGTTAAATGTAAATTTCTCCACTGTTTTTTCCAGCGGAGAGATCAAAATCCGTAGTACCAAAGCCATAGAAGTTTCTTTGGGTTAGATTCTTCCTTACATTGTTCATTCAACGCAATAGGGGAGTTCTCTGTAATTGACGCAAATTTTTCTAGAAAAAAAAAGGGATATTAACCCCACATTTGTATCCTAATTTCCTTGTAAATTTGTTGAAAATATATAAAATTTTCATGAGAACTTTCCTGTCCTGGAATTATCAATATATGAAAACTCTTTTTAGACAAATTATTTGATGGAAGAAATTATTAATAAAGAAAGGTAGCGTCACACAATCTAAAACCCCAATAATTACTTAAATCTTAAGTGTCATAAAAATATGATTTTAATTATTATCACCATAGAGGCATCTTATTTTACCAATAAGAAATATGGTAAAATGGGAGGAAATAGAAAGTCATGTATATAAATAATGTTTGTCAGAAATATCTGATTAGGGATGGGCCAAAGCGCGGGACTCATTCTCCTAATATTTCTTGAAAGATGTTACTGGTCTTGAAGTAGTTCTGATCAATTACATTAAAATTCAAAATTTGTGGTAAAAGAATTATTTTATGCTCTTGCACGTTCCAGTGGTCGGCTGATCGTTCTTTCTAGGAATCGAAATAAGGACTAATTTAGGCTCCGTTTGGATATGTTTTCCTTGTTTCCATGGTGTTTTTGCCAAAAACAAAACACAATGTGTTTGGAAACCATGGTGTTTTTAAGCTAAATCACCATCAAACAAAAAACACAACACTTATTTCAAAACACCTTTTAGGTGTTTTAAGTTTGATGTTTTGGTTTTGAGTTTGAGAATGTGTTAATATAATATCTAACATAATATATTAAATATAATTAATATAGAGTTATTATCAACATGCTTATTATATTATACTATACACTATACTACATTATAGTTAATTTAATATATTAGTAATATTTATTAAATAATATCAAAATATAATAAATAAAATATCTTATATAATAATATTAACATATTAAATACCAATATTTAATATGTTAATAATGTATTATATAATAAATAAATAATAATAAAATATAAATAAACTAATAAAAATAATAAAAAAATTATTAATAATAAATTAATAATATAATAATATACTATACAATAGTATAATCGCTATAATATGATTAACTTTTTAATAAATAAATTGAAATAAATTAATAATTATAAAATATTATATAATAGTAACATATTTATATAATAAGCAGCAACAATATATATAATAATATTATAATAACATATTATATAGTAAATGTAAAATAATATATAAAATATTAATATATTATGTAATAAATAATATAATTCTTATAAAAATAAAATAATTTTTAATAATAAAATAATTAATTGCTAACAAATTAATGTAAAAATAATATATTCATAATATACTAATATTTAATTAATATCATAAATACTAATATATTGTTAAAGTACTATTAATAAACTCTTAACATATTAAAAAACTATAATATATTATATAATATTAAAATATTTATAATATATTAATAACATAATATTAACATTATTAAAAATATTATAATATATGAATAATATTATATTATTATAATTATATTAATAATAGTATAATATTATATTAATAAGAAAATAAAATTATTATAAAAATATTAATATAATATACAACAATAACAAATTCATATACCAAAATAATTAAATATATAATTATTTGAAAATAGTATGTAATAATTATAATATAATAATAAATATAATATAATATAACTCATTAAAGTACAATATAATATTATAATACATTATACAATATTATATTGCATTACATTTAATACTTATAATACTATAATAATGTAAACTAAATATTATAATATTTTATTTATAATATATTTTATTATAATTAATATAGAATATATTAATAATATTTTTAATATTAATGTTATAATGAGTCAAACTAGTGTTGATCAAAAATACTTAACATGATGTTTTGAAATCATTTTAAGGGAAAAACACAACATCATGGTGTTTTTTTATAAAAACACAACAAGAAAAACACAATGGTATAAAGTACATTTTCTTTTATATCCACTAACATGCGCATTCAATCAGGTCTTAATTTGAATTGTACTCATGTCACTTTAGAGTCATTTTTGTTACACCAAAACTCCTACGATTTTGGTCGGAATTAAAAATTCCAACTTCACGCTTTAACGTTTGGAAAATAACGACCACGTCATAGAATACAAGACTCAAAAGCGACTCAATGTTTCTCAACTGCCAATTTACAACACCAAACAATCTGCTCTTTCAAATATTCTTGCAGATCAATTTACACCGATATCTTATTGCTCCGGACTTCTCTCCATTCGTCCATTGTTTACACGATATTTACAAATTACAACTTCCATACACAATGTTCAAAAATGAAATAGTACAAAAACTTGTTACCACTCCCTTAATCAAATATCCAATGAATTAAAAAACCAAAATTAATGGACTTCCATATATAATTCATGATCGAGTTCTCTCCAACTCCTTCCCTTTACAGTATCTTAGCTCGAGAGAAACCTGCCTCTCCATTTGTATATGCCTGTAAAAATTCCGAATAAATTCCTCGGCTCTCTGATCAATATCATCGGTCGACGACGCACTGCTCGTTGACCTCGAAACCTCCGAGGCTGGGCTCGTCGATCTCGACCGATCAGTCACCGAACTTGTGGACCTCGACAGCACAAACGGGGAGCCTGAAGCTTCGAAGAATTCATCGTTACTGGTGCAGTCTAGAAGACCCGAAGGCTGGCTTCTTAAGCTAAGGCGCCTTCGATGTTTTTTATCGGAAGGAGAGCCGAGGATTGACGAGAAAATCCATTTGGTTGCGTTGAAGGAGAGCAGGAATTTTACCTTTCGGATTGCTCTGTGGAGCTTGGTGAAGAGAGGGGATTTCTTTGTTGTCATATGCTTTAATGAGAATAGTTGAGGATTAGGTAGGTGATAAGGTTTTTTGGGGGTTTATAAAGAGAGTTGTTTATGAAGAGACGTTACGCGTTTTGTTCGAAGTTTCAAGGAAAGGAGAGATTATATGAGAGATGTGACCAGTTATTACTTCGAAAGCAAGTTGCTTTTGTTTTGTGTTGTATACTTTTTCTAAACTGTTTGTTCACTGGGCCACGTTTTAATCTCTCTCTCTCTCTCTCCCTTAAGTCTGAAGTATTCATTAGGGGTGAGCATCGGTCGGTTCGGTTCGATTTTTGCCAAACAACCGAATTGAACCGCCTACAATTCAAAACCGAACCAAATTGTTGTAAGTCGGTTCGGTACAGTTCGGTACGGTTCAGTTCAATTCGTTCGGTTTTTATACTCTATAGTTAAATTTATCACGCTGGATAGCAGTTGATCTCTACATTAGAGAAGTTAGCAATCTCAGATTTGAACTACCCATGAATAGATGCAGCGATAAGTTGGCAAGTCTGGCACAAGAAATACTACTTGAAGGTATGTCAAATCTAAGGTAGAAGCTCTGCTAAGTAGCATAGAGATAGAGGTACACCTCTTTAAAGTTAAAATTAGCTCGAGTGATGCTATCAAACTAGATTCAATCAATCCTTGCTCAAATTTATGTGAAATATACAAAGCAAAAAAATCTTACCTCCTCCTCCGAAAGTATCAACAGGTCATTCTCTAATACTTCTTCTTGAAAAGCATCTTGAACTACCAAATTCAGCATATGAAACCGCCTCGGTTCCCTCCTCTCCTCCCAAGACCCCTTCGACGAAGCCCTGGACACCCTCGAGCTCGTCGTCGACGCCACCATTGAGCTGCGCCCTCGCTGTCGACGCCGCCGCCCGCTAGCTGAAGAAGGGGGACTGGGTGGGTTCTTGCACGCAGTGGAGAGGAGCTGGAGGGTTAGGATTGGGGATCTGACG